AAAAAAAAAAAAAAAAAAAAAAAAAAAAAAAAAAAAAAACAGAATCCACCCTCTATAATGTGAGTAAGTTCATGAGCTTAATATCAAGGAAGGAGGACCTTGAGCATGCTCACTGGTTCCCATTTTCTCCCAGAAGCAGCTCTGCCTATGTCTGCTAGGTCAACCCCAGAAACCCACATGTACAAAAATTCCTGGTCTTAGGCAAACCGTACAAATTTTGCTCATCTGCACAGGGTCAGGACTGCTGGCTGCTAAGTCTTAAATTCAGCATACTATTTCAGATGGTGCTCTCTAGACCACAGAGCCAGGGTGTGTCACTTTCTTGCCATTCTATCCTCCTGTTACTTCAGTACCACTGCAATTTAGACAAAGCCCACTCTCCCTCCCAAACACTCACTCCCAATGGGTGCCAATCTGTTCTGAGCATCCTTTTCTAGTTCAGCGTTCTTGGTTTGGGCCCAGTTTTTCCAAACTTCAAGCCCTTCTTCTGGCTTCAAAGAATTTGGAAGCAGAAGTTCTGGGGAAGGTTGTGGCTGTGACTGTGGTTCCACTTCAGCAACTTGAACAGTTTGAGCCTATGAGAGAGAAACCATCAAAAATGTGTCAATACTCTTTCGCATTAGGTCCTTCTACAAAACTATCAGAAAAATAGTTCACTAAATCAAGAAATCTGTCTTCTTGCTGTCCTACTTTCAAGAAGCTATGGAGTTCTACTTCTTATCCCAAGGACAACAAAAGCAGCAATGCAACTGGGCTAGTGAAGTGTTCCTCAGTCCTGGCTACACGTGTGAATCTTATATTTAAAAATACAAATACCCAGACTCACCCTAGAATCTCTCTCTGGGGTGGAGCCCAGATATTAGTGTTTTTAAAACTCCCCATGTAAAAAGGTAATTATAATATTTAGTCACCACTGAGGAATACTGGATCAAAGCATTGCTCCTCAAATTTAATGTGCAAACAAATCACTTGGGTATTTTATTAGAATGCATAATTCTGATTGAAAACGTCTGGGGTGGAACCTCAGATTCTGCATTTCTAACAAGCTCCCAGTGACACCAAGGTTGCTAGTCTGCAAACCACACTTTGAGTATCCAGTGGTCCAGAGCACTGATTCTTAAACTTGTCTGCACCTTAAAATCATCTGTACTGCTTTAAAAAAAATACCCATGGCTGGGCCCAGAGATTGTGATTTGAATGGTCTAAAGCGGGGACCTGGCATCAGTATTTTTAAAAGTTCCCCAGGTGATTCTAATGTTCAGCCATAGTTGAGAACCACTGTTTAGAGAAAGAAAAGTATAACTAAGTGGTGTCCTCTCCCCTGCCATGGTAAAATGAGAGGTAAGACATGAGTCTTTATGGTTTCTCCAGGTCTATTTTTTTTATGTTCCTTCTAAAATAATACTTGGAGGTTGGCCAGCTAGCTCACTTGGGATCTCCTGGTGCTGATAACACCAAGGTCAAAGGTTCAGATCCTCATGCCAGCCAGCTATCAAAAACAATAAATAAACAAAATTTAAAAAATACTCTATATGGGCCGGCCCGGTGGCGCACTGCTACAGTGCGCCGCTTGAGAGCGCGGTGGCGCTCCCGCCGAGGGTTCGGATCCCACATACAGACCGGTTCCCGCTCACTGGCTGAGCGAGGGGCGGGCCCAGCACCGAGGGTTGCGATCCCGTTGCCGGTCCCGGTGTCCAGTACGGGCGCGACACTGAGGGTTGCGGTCCGTTGCCGGACACGAAAAAAGACAAAAAAAGGAAAAAAAAAAATACTCTATGGCTTGTAAGGATATAATCCATTTTCTTTTTTTTTTTTCCTTTTTGTCTTTTTTCGTGACCGGTAATGGGATCGCAACCCTCAGTGTCGCGCCCGTACCGTACCGCGACCGGCAATGGGATCGCAACCCTCGGTGTCGCACCCGCACCGCGCTCAACCAGTGAGCAGACCGGTCTGTATATGGGATCCGAACCCTCGGCAGGAGCGCCGCCACACTCCCAAGCACTGCACTCTACCGAATGCGCCACCGGGCCAGCCCAATATAATCCATTTTCTGAAGATAGGAGGCACTACTCTGGCTTCCTGCCTCCAAAGGAAGAGTGGTCCCATAATCAATGGTATAACAGCCAGCCCACGCAGAAGAGGGGCAAAGAATGTCCATTAGCTTCAATCACAATCCCTGAAGGGTTGGACAGACACCAACACAAATAGCAAGTACAAGTTCTTGGGTCTCACATACCCACCTACATTCTTTGAACAAATCCCCATGAGCAATCCCCCATGCCAGAGCCTACACCTCCCTTACCCAGCAGGCTGAGGAATGTAAAAAATAATTCAAGTTGAAGGCAAAATAATTTTTACATGATATACAAATTTGCTCACAAACAAAACTAAAAATGATCTTATTAGTTATGACAGGATACATTGTTAAGCAGGGAGATAAAGGAATACAGTGTTTTTGGCATTACATATCAAGACTCAAGAAAACATATGTTTTGACCTAGGACTCTGTCCTAACGAAACCACCAAAATAGAGAGTATACTTTATGCATGAAGACATACTGCAGAGTTGTTTACACTAGGAAAAAATCTAAAATATGAATGTCCAACAAAAGACGACTGGCTAGGCAAATTACACTATATCCACCCAAATGTACTACACAAAATAGATATTAAAAACATGTTAACTAAGACTAGAAATAACATTTTTTACATATGTTACTTACATGGTTAAGTACAAAGAAATCACACAAAAATGTAGAAAAAATATAAAGACAACCACCTAAATAAACCTGATTCCCCCTCTATCAAACTGCAATAGAGCGGTGAATGTATGAATAACATTAAAATACTTCCACTTTTCTATGTTTTCTAACATTTCTATAATGAAAGTATAATTCACAAATGCTCTTTTTTTTTTTTCCCAACAAGGAGTCTGGTACAGGGTTTTATATAAACAGACAGGAAAGAAAAGTGTTGTTAAGATCTGAATAGGCAGAAACAGGAAGAGATAAATCTTACCGTTATATAAAGTTTGGTCTACAACTGTTATTTCAACTACATGGGATTTTAACCAAGGTCTACATCTGATGCTCAGTAAACTTTCATTCTCTGCCCCTGATAAGAGCAGCCCTCCCTTCTTGTAAAACCCCTCCAACCCAGACTCCCTGGTTACTTGGCTACAGACTAACAAGATTAATACAAAATTATAATGAGTATTTATATAAATATGCTACTTACCACCTAAAGATTCTAAAGAGATCTTTATACCCTCAAATATTAAAAATTCAAGGTTAAGGTTCTCAATTTCCTTAGTTTGGGCTCTGATTTTAAAGGGAGAGAATCGAGTTACCACATGTCTTCAAAGAATGTACTTGGGCTCTCAAAAGTGTTGAAAAACATGAAGAAATCAATTCAAATCATGCAAAAGTCCTAGTTTCTCTTATCCATTGATTCAACAAACATGTACAAAGCTTTATGTTAGGCCCAGGAATATAAAACTGCATTAAACCATTGTTTGGGGCAAAGACCTGGTTAAATTTGTAGTGAGTTTTCTCCTTGACTCCAGTGACTACTCTAGCAGTCATCAAAAGAAAACCATTAATCAAGCTATTACTCCAAAATAGTTCCATTAACTGGCAACCATCAAGCCCCTCTCAGATATCTAGCACAGGTCAGAAAGGTAGCCAAGCTCAGGGCCAGTGGACTAAATAGCACCCAAAGTGAGGCATGCAGAAGTCCCCTATTCTTCCTGCACACAGGCCCAAGCCTCCCTTTACCAAATCAAGAAACACTTTCTCAGCTCATCTAACAATATACCTTTCCCACACTCCATTTTACTAAAAGGTTTGTAACCAGTCACTGCTCTAGTCAAGGCCAAGTCTATGGCTAGGCCTCAGCATTCTTGCCCTTTCTTATACTTTTGACTTGAGGACTCATTCTCTGATTTCTGTAGACATCTGATCCCCGTGCCGCATTCAGAGCTCCAATCACTATTCTGGCTACCCCAAAAATAAGTGATCTCTTCTTGGGTTATCTTTTTTTTTTTTTGTCCTTTTTGAGACCGGACACACCGCACTCAGCCAGTGAGCGCTGTGAGCGCACCAGTCATCCCTATATAGGATCCGATCCCGCGGCGGGAGCGCTGCTGCGCTCCCAGCGCTGCACTCTCCCGAGTGCACCACGGGCTCGGCCCTTGGGTTATCCTCTTGATAACCACTGGCACCATCTCTCCCCCAATCCCTGTAACCCCCAGGCAAAAATACCTGAAATGAAAAGGTCATAAGCAATGGATGCTTTGGCTCTAACCTACTGGACCTTTCTACAGAGCACTCTGATAATGCCACTCACAACTCTCTCCTTTTCTCTCTGCTCAGCATGACACCACATTCTCCTGGACCTCCCCAGGCTATCTGGCAGCTCTTTCTCTATCTGCCTTGGGTTTCTTTGTCTCTGCCAGGCTCTTAAATGCTCGTCAACCCTGAAGCTCCACTCTAGACCCACTTCTCATTTCAACTACACATTCTCCCTGGTAAGCCTCACCGACTTTCCCAGTTTGGATTTCCATGTTTTTGAAAGCGACTGTCAACTATGCACTTCCAAGCTAGACCTCCCCTTAATGTACCTAAGTGGGTACTGTATATCTCCAACTAAACATCTCACAGCCACCTCACACTAACATCTACGGAGAGAACTTATAACCTTCCCTGCCCAGACCTATTCTCCCCAGAGTTCTCCCCTACCTTGTTCAATGGCAACACTGTCTACCCAAGTAAGAAATCTAGGAGTCTGACTGGACAAATAAGCAAGGGCCAGAGCATGTGAGGCACTATTTCTGTTCTGGCTTTTTAGCAGGCCTCCTTCATGGTGTGTTTCCACCCACTGAATGCCAGTAACATTCTCAAGCATCTTGACAATGAAAAATTCTCCCACACATGTCCAAATGTCTATCAGTGAGTGGGAGTGGGAGTAATATAATCCAGGTTGAAAACTACTGTTTTAGGGTATTGTACATTGTGGTGTAGTTGTTCCTACATGTAATGGGAGTTCTTGGAGAGTTTGAAGCTGAGAAGCAACATGATCTTACATTTTAAGGTTATTCTTGCTGTTCTATGGAGAACGAACTGAAGAGCAAGAGTGGAAGCAAGTACTGGTACCTGGACTAGAATGGTGGCAGTGGAGATGATAGAAGAGATTTCGAGAAGTTTGGTGGTAAAATCAACATGGTTTGTTGATGAACTGGTTAGGAGTAGTAAGGGAAAGCAGACACAGGATGACTCCTGGACTTTCTGGCTGGAACAACTGGGTGGATAGTGATGCTACATTCTAAGACAGATAAGTTTTTGACAGTGGTACAAGTGGTACTAATGAAGATCTGAGATACTGTCAATAAATCCACATAAATGTTAAGTAGGCAGACAAATGTGTGGAAAGGGTCCTAAGGGAAAAAGACGTAGTTCAGAGCTTTAGATCTATGTGTCAACGCTGCACATAGGGGTTAAGATATAGGCTCCAGAGCCAGCTTGTCCATGGTTGAATCCCAACTCTGCTACTTACTAACCATGGCTTTGGCCTTGTCACTTATAATCCCTCTGTGCCTGTTTCCTCATCTGTAAAACAGAAATCCCTTAGGGAGAAAAGAGGGCCAGTATTCAGACCTGAGGAACATCATCATGTACAGTTCAGATAGAAGAGAAGGTAGCAGCAGCAAAGGCTCCTGAGAAGGAAGAAGAATCAGTTTGGTAGGAGGAAAATCAGGAGTGTGTTATAACATGGAAGCCCACAGAAAAGAGTTTCAATAAGGCAGGTATGGTCAGTTGCGTGATGTGTTATTGTGAGATGAAAACAGATGTGCCTATTTGATCTGGCCACAGGGAGGTCACGGCAGACCTGGCCAAGAACAGATTGTCATGAGATGAAAACTGTAGAGCAAGTGGAGACAGCTTGTGAAGATAATGCTTTTGAGAGCTCTGGGAATAAAGTAGAGCAGAGAAATAGGGCAAGAGATGGAGGTGAATGCAAAGTCAAGGGAGGAAGGTTTCACCATAAATCTGGTTTTTTGTTTGTTTTTTTTTGTCTTTTGTCTTTTTCCGTGTCCGGCAACGGATCGCAACCCTCAGTGTTGCCCCTGTACCGGACCGGGGACCGGCAATGGGACTGCAACCCTCGTCATTGTTCCCGTGCCTCGCTCAGCCAGTGAGCGGGAACCGGTCTGTATGTGGGATCCGAACCCTCGGCGGGAGCGCCGCCGCGCTTCCCAAGCGGCGCACTATCCAGTGCGCCACTGGGCCGGCCCCGATAAATCTGGTTTTTAAAACAGGAGATATGATAGTTTTCATAAAGGACGTGGCCTCCCCAACCCATGACAGATGAAGGAGCACAACACACTGTCACTAACTCTCCTTAGGGCTCAACTCACATCACAGCACAACTGTCTTCCCCATGGGCTATAAGTGTTTCAAGAGTGGAGGACACTGTCTTATTCATCTCTGTCCCCCATCACCTAGCACAGAGCTTGATAATAAGAGCAGAGGGATGTTTGCAGTATATATGGACAAACTTTTCTTTCCCTGATGATGGGTATTCTTCCCAATTTTCCTTTTTCTAATAACAACATTTGACTTAAATCTCCATAAGGCTTTCCCAAAGGAGACAAAGCGCACTAAAATAAACTCCAGAAAGAATCTTCTGCTGGAAGACCCAGACATTCAATTTACAGAGACCAATTAAGTACCAGAAGAGGCGTGACTTTCCACTGGGCCATCAAGCCCAGGAGAGTTAAAGGGAGGCCTAATGGGCTCCATCTCTGTGAGCAAAAGCTGAGCACGGAGCCCATAACACAACTCCTGGCTGGTCTCTCCTACATGCAATCAGTTTTATATACCTCTACTTGATTCCTCTTATCACCACAACTGTTAGGAAATTCAGGAAATTCCAGATTTCCTAGCACAGATGAGATCACAATTCTTCACTTTGGGAAGACAGCACCCCCACCTCCACTCCCACTGCCCGTACAAACTCTCTCTCACAGTTCCCCTCTCATGTTGTCCTAGGCCACAACCCTTCTGTCCATCCCTGGCTTGTATTTATGTTGCCCTATTCTTCTGTCAATCTAAGCTATAAACTGCAGTTCAACCCCACTTTTCCCACAAAGATGCTTCTGCTGATATCTAAACCTAGAATTTCTGAATTCCCAGTTTGTCTCTGTGTGTGTATATATATATCACATAATGTCACACTTGATTATGCTACCTTATAAATAATTCAAAGGAACAGGAATCCTAAGTTCTTACTCTCACAACTAGACTCTAAGCTACCTGAAACAAGAACTCTATCTTGTTCTACTTCTAGGCCTGACAGCTAGATATTTAGTAGGTCCTTAACAAAGTCACCTAAGATGATATACTGTTGCCTCTATGAAACCACTTGGTCAGCCTTTCCTTAATCATTTATGGCCTGAGTTTCTGACTGTGGATCCTTGTTTAACTTGCTTGTGCCAGCTGCCTCACATGCATTACCAGAAGCCTATGCCCGCTGAGCACACTACCTTCAGCAGTCCCACGAGACCAGAGGCCCTATATGTCACTCTGAAGGTTGGCTAGACAGGGGACCAGAAAGTTTACTAATAGCCTTAATAGATTAATCTACCCACGCCTCTGTGATATCTTTAAGATTAACAATTAGAAAAAAGAGAAAAGACCACAAAATTATAAAGTTAAAATATCAACAAAGTTCTATTTTTGCAACTTTTCTGTAAATCTAAAATTATTTCAAAATGAAATGTTAAAAAATTTTTTTCAACATAGCTGTCATGTCAGAAAACCCAATTAATCAAGGCTTATCTGACTATTCTTAGGGAACAAAAAACACTCTTGGAAGAGTCCCACTGCACAGGTGGCTTATTCAAGGCTCTCAAAGGCAATCACTTTTAACAGGCCCACTAAGAGGTATTTTAGGTCTTCTAACTCACCTACACTGTGTCCTAAGATGACAACTAGACAAGGAACAATCTCACAGCCTCTCCCCACTACGATGAGTTTACAGCCTGTATACTAAACTATAAGGGTTCCACTCTATCTTGATAACACCAAGATCCAGCGTTCCATCCTTGTACCAGCCAGCTGTCACAAAAAAAAAAAAAAAAAAAAAAAAAGGCTGGCCAATTAACTCAGCTGGTTAGAGGATGGTGCTGATAAGGGTTCCACTAGATCCATTCACTTGTGATGCATGAAAGTAGCTCCTGGGATGCAGATCACACATGGGATGTCCCATTTGTCTCCACCTGTAACTTTACTCTTCCTAAGAGATCACAAAGAGGCATCCCGGGTGCCTAACCCCGAAACCTCTCACCAAAACCCCAAAGCAGTTACTTGTCATTTCATTTACCTCTAGGTACCAGGATAAACCTCCTGCCTGTTGCACAGCCTTACCTGCTGCTTCCTCCTAACTCCCAAATACTAAATACTGTATCACTGTAAGACTAACATCATGCAGTAAACAAGCCAGAGGTTGCCAGGCAGGTTCTGTGTTACACTGGGCCCTGAGGGAGCAGGATGGCTAAAGATAAATCACACTTACTGAGCAAGTAACCTGGAGCTGTGGCTGCTGCTGCTGCTGCGGTGGTGGAGTCTGTTCCTGGGGGGTTTGCTGTTGTGGCTGCTGTTGGGGATCCCATATATGGACAGTCTGAGCTGTATTCTGGTATGTGCCTGCCACAGCCTGCACAGCCACTGGAATGTGGATGTTGCCATTCATGAACTGTGCTGGAAAGAGAGAGTTTGCAAGGGTCTGCACTACCTCTTCATGGGAGTTTTTCACTACAGACGTGGTGCCCACCATCTTCTCCTTGTCATCCTCCAGCTTTACGGATGCCAGGGCTGTGGGTGAGCCACTGACGTGAACTGCGTTGTAGGCTTCCTGGGGAATGGCAATGTGGGTAATGCTCTGCTGCTGAGGGTCCCCCCGGGGCTGGGCAGAATAAACAGGGATGGTCCAGGTTTCTCCTGTAGGGCTAGTAATGGTCCCAGTGGCACTGTACAGGTGGGCACTGTCTACTGTCAGTAAGTCTGGCCTCAAAGACACATAACTCTGCTGCTGGCCTTGCGGAATGGCCAGCACGGTGGCCACCGGCTGCCCTGAGATGGCGTAGGACACAGTGATGGGCATGTCCACTTTGCGCTTCTTCACTGGCTGGAGGACACTGGCTGTGCCAACCCGCCGCTCCCCTTCCCGTGGTGAGCCCTGCTGGGATGGTGGTGGGGAAAGGGCACCCACGGTCTGGATTTGGATCTGCTGACCCCCAGCGAGAGACTGGCCAGCCACCAGCTGAGCCTGGATTTGCTGATGTGGGATGTGCTCCTCCGGGATTTCTGCAGCCTGGATCTGCTGGGCCGCCTGCACGTGCTGCACCTGGATCTGGGCTGCTTGCAGCTGTGAGGGGCTGGGGCTCTGCAGACATGGGGTCTGGATGGAGGGGGCTGCTGACTGTGGTGCCTGGCCTTGGATCTGCACCTGGACCTGGATGGGCTGCTCGGCAGGTTGATGAACGGTGAGCTGCGGGGAGAGCTGCTGAGCCGAGACCTGCTGCGGAGACTGCTGCACCTGCACCTGTACCTGTAGCGACAAGATTTACCAGTGAGTGAAACAGGCAGCAATGAGAATCCAGACCCCAAGGGAAGAAAAGTTCTCAGGCAGGGGCCCTATGTAATGTGAGGAAGTAGGGCTTTCATTCCCAGGGCTTCTGAGGAGGCCACAATCCCCAAAACCATATGCAAAATTCTCCAGCATCACATTGCATTTGCAGTAACACATATGCATCCCAGAGAGCAAGCAAGTCAATCAACAAGGGTGTCTAAGAAGGAAATATCAGAATGTTTGCTCATTTTAACTCTTCTCTGAAAATGCACCCCTTTGTCTTTTGCATACAAGTATATAATTTATAAATGTATATATGTATATATAAATTTACATGTATGTTAAAAAAATATTTTATCCATGGGGTGAGCGAAAACAAGTATGGGGAACACTATTCTAGAAGGTCAGAAAAACAAGTATATTCTACAGGCATTAAGTTCCCAAATGCCCAATTCAGGATCAAAACTATCTCCCACATGAACAAACAGAAAACACAGCACAGACAAAGCTCCTGAAATCTCCAGGGGAGTCCATACCCAACTTTGCTGCTTAAAATACAGGCAGTGTTGCATGATTCTTCTTTTTTTCGGGGGGGGGTGTGGGGGGTGGCTGGCTGGTATGGGGATCCGAACCCTTCACCTTGGTGTTATCAGCACCTCACTCTAAACAACTGAGCAACTGGCCAGCCTTTTGCATGATTATTTAGAGTGCTCATTTAAGATACCTTTGTTTTAATAGAGAAGGTATTAAAAAAAACCCACACAGAATCCTGGTAATTTAATCTAAGCAATGTTACTATATCCTGGATCACACATTTCTGATTAATGCAGCTTATGTCTTATTACTGTTATTTCAGCAGGAAAAGCAGATGAAAAGATGCTATACACAGTATGTGATAGAAAAAAAAAAAGAAAGAAAAAAGAAAAGCTTTCCCATCAGACATACATATCTAAATAACCCTAACCAAAGGAAGGAATTAGGAAGGTAGAAGATAAGAAGGCAGGTAATAAGAAAGCAGATGAGAGGGCCGGCCTGTGACTCACTTGGGAGAGTGTGGTCCTGATGGAACACCAAGGCCACGGGTTAAGATCCCCTTACCGGACATCTTTTAAAATAAATAAATAAATAAAATAAAGCAGATGAGGGCCTGTATCTATCTAATAACAGAAGGAGACACATGACAAAAGATAATCAAGGATGCTGCTGGGACAACTGGATATCCATATGCAAAACAATCAAGTTGGATCTCTTCCTAATATCAAACACAAAAAATGGGAAAGACTCTGAATAGACATTTCTACAAAGAACATATGCAAATTACCAACACGCACATGAAAAATTGCTCAATATCACTACCTATCAAGGAAATGCAAATCAAAACCATAATGAGATATCACTTCATATCTGCTAGGATGGCTACAATAAAAAAAGACAGATAATAACAAGAATTGGTGAGGATGTAGGGAAACTGGAACCCTCATATACTGCTGGTAGGAATGCAAAATTGGTGTAGCCACTGCAAAATAGCCTAGCAGTTCCTCAAAAGGTTAAACATACCATATGATAAACAAAGCATATGACCCAGCAATTTCACTCCTAGGTATATACCTAAGAGAAATGAAAACACATCCACACCACAACTTGTACACAAATATCCACAGCATCATTGTTCATTAATAGCCAAAAAGTAGAAACCCAAATGCCCAGTAACTGATGGATGGATAAACAGAGTATGGTACAGTAGTCCCTCAGTATCCATGGGGGGGATTGGTTCCAGAATCCCAAAATCTGCCGATGCTTAAGTCACTTATATAAAATAGTGTAGTACAGTTGGCCCTCCCTATTCATAGGTTCTGTGGGCTGACTGTACATCAATACAATGGAATACTATTTGGCAATAAAAAGAATGAAGTGTTCATATATGCTACAACATAGATGAACCTTGAAAACATCCTAAGTGAACTCAGTCACAAAAGACCACATATTGTATGATTCTATTTATATGAAATGTCCAAAATAATTCCATTTTCCATAGTAATGGAAAGTACGTTATTGGGGGGGGGGTGTCTTTTTGGGGTGATGAAAACATTCTAAAATTGATGTGATGATGGTTGAGCAACTTTGTGAATATACTAAAAACCACTGAATTGTATACTTTTGGTAGGTAACTTTTACAATATGTGAATTATTTCAATAAAGCCATTACTAAGTAAAAAAAAAAAAAAAGGAAGAAAGAAGGCGTATAAAACTATCAGACCTTTTATGTTCATAACCTTTATTCCTAAGCATCATAAATCAGTAAGAAATTAAACATGCTATTTTTATTACCACCCTCAATTTTTTTTTTTTATATAAAAACATAACATTTTCTCTGGTTAGATCATTACTACATGGGTCATAATAACAAATTTGGAAACAACTAAATTTAAAAAAAAAAACAGCAATTTTATCACTCAGGGATAACTGTTAATACTTTTTAAGAAAAAGTATTAAATTTTATTTGAACTTGAGGAAACAAAACTGAACTAAATTGAAAGAATTGCTAAACTGCAGATAAATATTTCTTCCCAGTATGATAGCTCCTAAAATATCCCTCTTAAAAAAAAAAAAAAAAAAGAATTGGGGGCCGGCCCGGGGGCGCACTGGATAGGGCCCCGCTGGGGAAGCGGGGGGGCGCCCCCCCGCTTCCCCAGCGGGGCCCTATCCAGTGCGCCCCCGGGCCGGCCCCCAATTCTTTTTTTTTTTTTTTAAAAAAAAAAAAAAAGAAGGGGGGGCCGGCCCGGTGGCGCACTGGATAGGGCCCCGCTGGGGAAGCGGGGGGGCGCCCCCCCGCTTCCCCAGCGGGGCCCTATCCAGTGCGCCCCCGGGCCGGCCCCCAATTCTTTTTTTTTTTTTTTAAAAAAAAAAAAAAAAAAAAAAAAAAAAAAAAAAAAAAAAGAATTAAAGAAATTTAAGAAAGACTATTCAGAGATTGGTATTGTGCTTTATTAACTCTATGTTTCTTAATGGGTTTTCTTTTTTCTATACCATGAGAAAAATAAAACTTAATGGGTTTTTAAGTGTAATTTTCAAGGTTATAGTACTTAATTATCTCAGAAAACCAACAGACACACTGATACATATATGAATATACACACACGTTTTTTTAAGCACAGTTTGAAACTTAAGTATAGATTTAGGATGATTCTCAAGAGATACTCAAAGGAAAAAGATCATCCCTAAATCCAGTGTATCCTAGAAAGTTATACATCAATGGGCGAGGGGGACATTTCTAGGGGAATAAGTTTGGTTTTATCGCTTCAAAAACACTGTTTCGGCCAGCCCGTGGCTCACTTGGGAGAGTGCGGTGCTGATAACACCAAGGCCACGGGTTTGGATCCCATATAGGGATGGCCAGTTTGCTCACTGGCTGAGCGTGGTGCTGACAACACCAAGTCAAGGGTTAAGATCCCCTTACCGGTCATCTTTAAAAAAAAAAAAAAGAAAAAAAAAAAAACACTGTTTCTTATCCTCTATCAATCCCTCATAAATCACTCTATATTTTAGTTTTCACATCTGAATCATACTTTTTTGACACGTGTGTTATCTCCTTTATCTTCGCAGCAGCTCTGATAGGTAGTGTGACAGAAATTCCTGATAGCCCCTTCTTCTTTTAATAACACATAGTCAGATATTTAGCTGTTTTTAAATGTTTCTTCCACGTTGTATAAAGACCACATTTTCAAGCTTCCCCTGGCTGCTGGTCTGACCAGATGGTGAGGATCTGGCCAATGCGGTTTAAGGAGAAGTACAGTGAGCAGTTTCTGAAATGAATCCTTAAAGAGGAGGGATATCTTCACTTCTTCCTTCCTCAGGCTGGAATACTGCCTGAGGTGGCGGGCACCTTGCCAACTCCGAGGGAGAGGATGGCTCAGGTCCTCAGTTCTGCAGGGCTTCCTGTGCACAGCCTCCTAAAGTGCAGCATCCCAACATAGACAGCCATGACTTGCTTCGGAATCATACTTTTTCATCATAAAGCCTTCCCCCACCCCTACCCCCTTTTCCAGAGTTTTTTTTGTTTTGTTTTTTTCGTGACCGGTAAGGGGATCACAACCCTTGGTGTGGTGTCGCCCGCACCACGCTCAGCCAGAGAGCGCACCGGCTAGTCCTATGTAGGATCCGAACCCGTGGCGGGAGTGTCGCTGCGCTCCCAGCGCCGCACTCTCCCGAGTGTGCCACGGGCCGGCCCCTGTTTGTTTTTAAAAAGATGACAGGTAAGGGGATCTTAACCCTTGACTTGCACCACGCTCTCCCAAGCGAGCCATGGGCCGGCCCTCAAGAGTTTTTTAAATTGCCTTTTGTTTTTCTGTTCATCAGAAGAAACAGAGTACTAGTGGCTCTACTTCTGGGCTCTCAATCATATAATATACACAGTGTTAATTTTCTTGAAGCATTTTGACTTTCTATTTCAATCTGGTCAGACTGCTTTCTATGTCTTCTTATAAAGTTACCAAACTGGGATTAGATCTCATTTGAGCTGCTTCTACTGTTTCTTTTATTCTCATGACTTCTTTTCTAGATTATTTATTTTGAGTATATCATCAAGTAACTTTTTTTTTTCCTTTTTGTCTTTTTTCGTGACCAGTAACGGGATCGCAACCCTCGGTGTCGCGCCCGTACCGCGACCGGCAACGGGATTGCAACCCTCGGTATCGCACCCGCACCGCGCTCAACCAGTGAGCGGACCGGTCTCTATATGGGATCCGAACCCTCGGCGGGAGCGCCGTCGCACTCCCAAGCTCTGCACTCTACCGAGTGCACCACCGGGCTGGCCCATCAAGTAACTTTTTGAGAAACTGTGTCTAAGTGTGGTCCACAGATCAGCACTGACCTGGGAATCTGCTAGAAATGCAAATTCTCAGACCTCACCCCTGACCTACTGAATCAGAAATCTGATAGCGAGGTCTGGCTATTTGTGTTTTAAGAAGCCCTCCATGTGA